GGTGTATACAGGAGGGACAGCGTTGCCAAAGGGCTAGAAAACAGAAATCCCAGGGTGTGTATGTCTGGTACAGGAGGGACAGCGTTGCCAGAGGGCTGGGGGTTGCCTTTCGTCCAACTGCCCAGATTCAGAGAACACCAACTCTTGCAGGGAGCATTGAAACTTGCAACCCCTCAGTGGCCAGCCTGCCTGTGATGTTACAGGATTTGGGTGGTGAGTGGGAAAGGTTGGGCTTACCAGCAGTCTGGACTCTCCAGGGCTTTTGCCTTGGGTTCAGCCCCCCTTCGCCTGGCTCCCCCGCTTCTGGACCAAAGTGCTCGGGTGCCCATAGGGGACCAGGAAGCCTGAGGCATCCTGGCCCAGGATTGCGGGAGGCCGCTGGGCTGGTAGTGCTGTTTTTCTAGGGACTAGGGAAGAGAATGCTGTGTTGTGTGCTCTGAGAAAGCTTTGTTGTGGTGGAATGGGAGCGTGTAGTTTTGGAAATGTAGCTTTCCAAGGCCTGGGGTGGTGGGTGCTCCCAGTGGAGGGGAAAGGCCGTGGGACTGGCCTTTGTGCTCTTGGCAGCTGATTTAGGGGAACCCCTTTCTTAAGCCACCGCCTCTTACTGGTCATGTGGCATGGCCTTAGGCAGCTTTAACTCTGTTCCAGGACAAGATTTGAGCTGAGAGAAGGAGGCTTGGGGTATGTGTTGAATAAAATGGCAACATTCTGAAGGGAAGAGAAAAAGCAACCATCTTACAAGCAAAAAAAGAAAAAAAAAGACTTAAATCTGAAAAACCCATTTGTCCAATGTTAATTATTATATGAGAGGTTGGGGGTGGGGGTTGGGGTGAAGGGAGAGGATAAGACAAAGATGGCCCCCTAGCCTGTCTTTCAACTTCTTCATCTAAGTAAAGTGAAAACAAAACTCTTTATCATTGCACATTAAGATGGCAAAAGATAATAGGTAAATAAAGGTACCTTTTTTTGTTGGGTTACCATTACCATTCTTTGATGAGGGTAGTTCATGGTTCAGAGCCTTCATCCACCATCATCAAAGTAAATTATTTCTTTATAGACACGGCCTACCTCCCATTAGTGTCACCAGGGTCAGGGGATTAGGGAAAGGAAGCCAAGTGTCCAGTGTTCAGTAATACTAGTACTATCCGCTAAAATGAGTTACTATTTATACAATGTTTACAACTCCGGCTGTCATAAAGCAGACACTTACAATTTTCAACATTATCATCATAATTATTATTATAGAAATATTGTACTTTGTTAGCTGTCATACAGGTTTCCTATCCGAGGCAACAAATCTATCTATATAGAAGCCTAATATGCAAAGTGTCACCTCGGGAGTTCGATCGACAGGGAGTTTGATAGCTCACTATGATGTGCACTGACCACCAGGGGGCGGCGTGGAATGAAGGAAGGCCCCGGCTGGCAGCTGGCAGCCAGGGAAGGAAGGCCCAGGCCAGCAGAAGGAAGTCTCTTATCAGCCCTGATTGCTGGCCAAGCCTAGGGACCGTACCCATGTACCAATTTTGTGTACTGGGCCTCTAGTATTATCATAAACCCTTGGTGGTAAGTTAGAAAGTTACAGGAATGTGGGTGTAAGCATCAGAGGAGAATTCTTAGAATATAATTAGTATAACTGACATGCTATACAAATAATCTTCTGATATAAATTCAATGTGAAAGTACTAGAAATTCAAATAAGGCAGACAGCTTTTCTCTATAGATAAATCTTAATCAAGTTGATCGAATTACTTGGCATTTTTATATCTGTTGAATTGCTAGTTCCTAATAATACAAAGATATGAGGACTTTGTACATCAATTACTTAGAAGGGATACGTGCGATATGTATTCTATTTGCTGCTGATAAAAATAGTATAGGTGTTGAGATTTTTCAAATATTTTAAATATTTGATATAGATTGTGAAATAATTTCCACGACAATAAAATGTTCTTGTTTTTAAGAGCAGAAATAATTGCTGAAGCAAAGTGTCCCTGCTGAAAACTTAAAAGGGAAATGGTCAGCAGATGATGATGAAATAACAACAGACTATCTCATGCAAATATAAGAAAATAGAAAGCATGTTAATTACAAAATATAGTTGGCAGTTAATAGTTCCACTACTATTCAACTATTCTCATATCTATGCCTAGAGTGTTTCCAACAGTTTTAAAAATTAAATTCATTAAATCAGACTCATAAACAAAGACGTACAAAAGCAACTTTAAAAATACATTACTAATTTGTAAAATCTATGTCTTTAAATTTAGACATGAGATTATATTAGTTTCCTTATTTTTTTTAAAAAAAGGGGGGAAATTGCAACAAAAAAATAAAAATGCAAAGGCAAGATAAATATTTTTGGCTCTTGGACCAAAAAAGATAATGAACAGTGAGAAAAAAACGAGAAGTGAAGACAAATGAAATAGACCATACTACTGATGTTCTTTTTCATGTTAAAAAAAGAAAAAGCCTTTTCATCTTATTTGGATTGATTTGGAATGAGTAGTGATAATTTGGGGGCTAAAACAATCAACAATACAGTCATTAAAACAAACGGGTTATTTAGCATAATTCTAAAATAGGAATTTTTGTATGTATTTACACATACATTTTTCTTAGGTCTCATGCTGAATGATATTTGATTGTCCTCTCTTCTGTCTTACTATTATTGAAACTAGAGGCCCAGTGCACAAATTTGTGCACTGGTGGGGTCCCTCCAGGTGGCCTGCCACGATTTGGCCCCAGCTCACGCCCCCAGCCTTGCAGCCCCAGTTCTTGCCCCCAGCCTCACAACCCTACAGCCCCACCTGGCACCCCACCTTGGCCTGGCGCCGCCAACTCATCTGCTCTACCATCCTGCCTGCAGGGCAATCGATCAAGGCCCATTGGGGCTGGGCCTCCTGCCCAGCTCCCTCAGTACTGGTCTCCGTCTGCGGGGCGATCAGCTGATGCCTGCAATGTTCCATGCCACCCCCTGGTGGTCAGCACACATCATAGCAAGCGGTCAAACTCCCAGTTGAACCTCATTTCTTCTGGCCTATTCAAGATGGTATCTTCAAACACCACTTTTTATCTAGATCCCTAGATCCTCCTATTATATATTTTTACACATTTGACATGTTCCCAACTCTTATACTTGTCCTGTGTATGCTTTCTTTTCTTCCATGTCACTACTCTAATATGCTTTATACTGGTTCCCTATCATCTCTCTTCTGAACATTCATCAATATCACTTGTTTTAGGTCACGAGCTCAAAATGAAAAGGGCCCGAAGAGAGTCACACGTGATTGGGGATTTGACATGGCAATGCTTGGTACCACAACCACCTCTCTTGCTTTTCCTTAAGGCCTCTGTGGCTACAGTGATCTGCCATGAAGTTTTTACTGTGACAAGTGAGAGGCAGTGTCCCTTCTCCTTGTTTTCTTTCGTCAAAGGCTACAATTGTCAGCAAAATGGTACTCAGCCCCTTAGGAAGCCCCAACACTCAGAAGCAGGCATCTCAACCCTCAGTTCTTCTCCTCTTTTTTTCTCATTACAGCAGCAGAACAGAGGTTTTCTAAGATTTAACCTCCAATTTGGCCTTCCCATCTTCCCTCTCTTGCTCTCAATAACTTCAGTTATAGGGCATTTTCTCTCAGGTATAGTACACATAATTAACACTAAATATATCTCAAACTAAGTAGTTACCTGTTATATTTAAGCTCTAAAATGCAAATAAACTAAATAGAAAGTATATAAAAAATTCTTTCTGTATTTACTCTCCTTTTTCTACCTACCTTACTCCATTAGATATTAATTTCACTGGGCAGAACCTGAAAGCATGCCATTTAAAGATTTTTTTTAAAAAAATGACCAATTCAAGGAATCTAGAACACTCAGATGACTCTCTGCAATACTTTCTGCCTTCCTAAAGAATATGATCACTTGGGAGATATCTATGTGAAGAGGGAGCAATAAAGATTTCTGTATTCAGAGTATTTCATAATAATAATTAAGATCCAGACACTCAAACACTGGTCAGGTTCAGTTTTGAAAGTTATTCAAAAGATTAGTTGATATTTTGCAAACTGAATAGCTAACTGGTTTATTATGGCTGTACCTCTACTAACTGTATGCTTTTATATAATAAAACATTATGCGTTAATATAAGAATTCCTATTTTGTTTTCTGTGTCTTGGGAACGGAATGCTCCTAGTCCCAGTTATAAAAGTAGACATTATTGTTATCACCAAATCCTTTTTGAAAGTAGTAGAATATAAATATTTAATAAATAGAATTCTATTATCTTATGTTAAACATGGTTATATAGATTTTTTTTGTTTAAACCGCAGTATAAGAAAGTACCAGTAAGAAATATATTCAGAAATTAATGCTAGAATATAGAAATACTGTCACCATTTTACATATCCCCATAGTTTTTAGAAAATAAATTTGTTGGATAATTATTATGTTTTGAATTTACTACATAGAAATGCAGGAGGCAGATAATGATAATAGTGTTATTCTGTTTTCAGAGAAAAGCTTCCTGGATAAATATGGTGTTCACCACTCTGGAGAGAATAAATGAATTTCCCTGAAAGAAGCTCATGGGTGGATTTGTAATGGGAAAGAATTTGCGACTGAAATGAAATGAATACCATCCGTTGAAGAATGGTATGTTTTGTGCTGTCTCCATATCACTCAGCTCTTTGTATGAGCATGCATCCAGCGCTTCCTCACTGCATACTAATGTGGGTGCATTAAGCCTCATGATACTTTCATACCAATTCTGATAACTATAAGAAAATAACTCCCACGGTGAGCATTTCAAAAATTCTACCATTTGAAATTCAGGTCAATTTAGTCTGAATATTCTTGTCCAAATGTGAATATATGTATAAAAATGTGAGCTGCAGGACAGATAGGTTCATATTCATACCTTCACTGAGCTTAAAATTGCTATCTGGCATTCTGAATTGGCTGCCAGCTCTCAACATTCTCAAGAAAGTGTCACTTACTACAGTTTTCTTCGTCTGAATTATCACTGCAGTCATTTTGGCCATCACACCGCCAGTGATCTGGAATACAGTTGTTGTTTTTACACTGGAATTCATGGGGTCCACAAGTTTTCTTATCTGTAATAGAAAGAACCAAAGTTTTCATTGTTGACTTCCATGAAAACCTCCCTGACAGTATCCTCACTGCCAGGCCAATTCCAGGGCATATAATATTTCCTCAGAATTTGATTAAATTCTTACTCAGAAGGATTCCTTAGGAAAACTGAAGGCAGACAATGGATAATATTCATCTTTCTGTCTTGTTTTATGTTGTTATAGGTCATATTTTCATCACAAGCTAATTACAAAGCAATTGTTCAGATCACCCATACAAACGCAACACAAAGCACCAATTAATGAAAACAAATGAACATCAAAATTATCCAAAACTTGCCTTCTCTTTAGCACACTCCCTCCCTATGCCACCTTCTATTTATGCTATAAAGCAGCAAAAGGAAATGGTTATCAATCAGACTCAGAGGTTGTCATCTTGTCTTTCTCCCCAAAGAGCTCTTATTCATAATCTCCCTATAGTCAGCTGCTCCAATTTCATAAATCATAATAGTGCACAGCGTGCAAACCTTGACAATTAATAAAGTGCCATCTCACTGGAACATCTAAACAATCTCAATGAGTATCAGGAGAGGTATTAACTCGCTCTTCACTTTACAAATGACAAAACAGAGACTCTTAGAAGTTTATGAACTTGATGAATTTTCACTACCATTAAATGGCACAGCCAGTATAAAAAAGTATGCCTTTATTCCTGACTTAGTGCTTTTTTAGAACAAATCTATGTCCATATGAGCCAGTTGCAGAATGCATGTAATAGGAATTTTTTAATGTTTAGGTCACATACTTTAAAAAATTTCTTTGAATAATATCTGTACATAGTCTAAAACAGTACTTAAATTTTAACATGCATACTTATAAATCACTTGGTAATTGTGCTAAAATAGAGATAATGATTGAGTAAATCTGGATTTCTAACAAGCTCTTTAGTGGTAACATTGTTTTTTAGCAAGGTTCTAAATAATCAAGATGATATAAATTCAATAACATAAAAATAATAAAATTATACGCACTAGTATACAAATTAAAAACATTTCTTTCCCTTTCATATACTTAGATACACTCCTTATTCTCAGACATATTAAAGAAAAACAGTGAAATGTTTAACAATTTAGACTGGTGAAATAAATTAACTAAAGGAGAAGATCAGCTCTTGATGATGGTTGCTATACTTTACTTCAAAATGTATATTATATAATTGAGATTCAAATAGGATTTTAAAAGCAAAAGTGATTTATATATAATTATAAAAATTAAATAATGAACATCTATTGAGAGCTCAGTCTACCTCTTAGCTAAACATTTTCATAAATATGATCACACTCAATCTTTCTAACATCTGTAAGATGTATTATTACATGCATTTAAATACCAAGAAACATAAGTCTTAGAATTTAAGTTACTTCTCCAATCTTATAAAGCTATTAAATGACAAAAGGGCAATTTATATACAGATTCCACTCCAGAATATTCTACATTTCTGTAGAAATTCTCATGATAGATTTCAAATACATTTTTCAACTAAATAGATAGATGATAGATAGATAGATAGATACATAGATAGATAGATAGATAGATAGATAGATAGATAGATAGATAGATGATAGGTAGATGATAGGTAGATGGTAGGTATATGATAGATAGATTGATAGATACCCCCACATTCTCTTCCCTTTCTTCTTTCCTTTCTGCCTTCATGCCTGTCTACCTGCTAATGATGACTCAGAATGTAATGTGAGTCACTGTGTTGTATGCTATGTTATATAATATATCCTGTTTGCCTGTGTCATACATAGCTTTAAATTTTAAAATTTGCTTAATATCTATAGAATTTCTAATGTAGCATTCTACACATCTCAGACAATCAAGAAATATGTCAGAATGGTTGGAATTTGAACAATGACCATTAAAAATATAGGGTTTGGTACTAAACTATTTAAATGGTTACTTCATTTTAATGAATAAAACAAACTCTTCTGAATCTATTACTTTATTTTTTAACATTGGTTTATGTATTCCTTGTCATGTGTTCCTTGCATTATTCCTTTGTAAAAATGTTTTGATTGATTCTAAAGAGGAAAGAAGGGAGTGGGAGAGAGAAACATCAAAATGAGAGAAACATTGATCAGTTGCCACCTACATTCCCCCTATTGAGGTTTGAACCTGCAACCCAGGCATGTGCCCTGACTAAGAGTCAAAACAACAATATTTTTGGTGCTTGGGATGATGCTCAACCAACTGAATCACACTGGCCAGGGCTGGTTTCATTATTTTTAAATATTGTTTTAAATTTTTAGAATATATAATGTAAGAAAAATCAGACTAGATCAGACAAACAGATCATGTGACCTACTATTAAAACATTGCCTCCAAGCAATTCTCCATGACTGCGAAGGTTAACGAGTGGTACTGAGCATCAATACAACCCATTTTTTTAATTGTTTACCCTAAATCCTATTTTTATTTTTTTGTTTGTTTAAACGTTTGTATCATATTTTGTGTTTGAAAGAGTTCTGTTATTATTTTTTAAGAACAAGTTATAGTTCATTTCGAAGATGTTCACTTGGGGCATTCAGAAACAGTAACATGGAAAGGTAAATTGCCTTCTGTAAGGTTATTCAGATTTTATGTTTCTAAGTTATTTAATTTTGGGATCCATAACATTATTAAAATTACAAATACAAACTATATCTGTATTTAAAATCTATTTAGACATGTTTGAAGACATATATACATATATATATATAT